AGCAGACATGCAGGAGGGAGCCCTGCCCCAGGTTAGGCGAACAGGCAACAAACGCGTCTGGAGGGGTTGGTGCGGTCCTGAGTGCAAGTGGGTGTGGAGTAACTGGAACCACTGGGCCAGTTCCTCTGCAAGCCCAGCAGGATCCCAAGCCAAGCCCCACACTGCGTGAGGTTCATGAATGGTAGAACAGGGTTGCAGCCCCATCACCACAGCAGGAATAGTGCCAGCACCTCAGGAGCTGGTGCCAGGCTGCACACACGCAGGCATTTCACCCCACAGTGCCAAGGATGGCCTTGTCCTCACAACCTGGGTGGCTGCTGGAGCACCTTGACACCTGGCCACCCCTGGCTGCATGGGAGTCTTGGAAATGGGCTCCCACAGCCAGGCAGCTGCATGCAGGCTGGAAACCAGCGTTGTCACTCAAGCAGAGGAGAAAATGGCTGCTAGGGGACCACCAGCATCCATGCCATGAAGGTGAATCAGAGACAGGTCCCGCTGGCAGCAGCACTTTTATCTTTTGGGGGCCTTAAAGTTAATTTTTGTTAAGCCTTGAATTTTGGTAAATCCCCAGCCCTGAAAAGGGTGTGAAAATCAGGACTTCTGAACCCAAGCAAAACAATACAAAGTTGGGTTTGGGGAAAAAGGTGGAAAGAGTCCAACCAGTTGGGCACAGTGGCTCACACCTGTAATCCCAGCACTTTGGAAGACTGAGGTAGGTCTTGATGCCTACCTGATGGCTTGAGCCCAGGAGTTGAGTCCAGCCTGGGCAACATGGCAAAACTCCGTCTCTACAAAGAAAAAAAATAGAAAAAATTAGCCAGGAGTGGTGGCACGTGCCTGTAGTCACACAGCTACTTGGGAGACTGAGGTGGGAGGATCACCTGAGCCCAGGGAGGTCAAGGCTTGAGTAAGCAGCAATCGTACAACTGTACTCCAGCTTGGGTGACAGAGTGAAACCCCACCTCAAAAAAAAGGTCAGTGCAGAAAGCCTCTAGCCAGACTGACAAGTACGCGTGTAAAAAACCTCAGCCTGACCGGGCATGGTGGCTCACGTCTGTAATCCCAGCACTTTGGGAGGCCGAGGCGGGCAGATCACCTGAGGTCAGGAGTTGGAGACCAGCCTGACCAACATGGAGAAACCCCATCCCTACTAAAAATACAAAATTAGCCGGGCATGGTGGCGGGCACCTGTAATCCCAGCTACTCTGGAGGCTGAGGCAGGAGAATCTCTTGAACCCAGGAGACGAAGGTTTCCGTGAGCCAAGATCGTGCCATTGCACTCCAGCCTGGGCAATGAGACCAAAACTACGTCTCAAAAAAAAAAAAAAAAAAAAAAGGCCTCAGCCTTCTCAGCAGTGCCAAAAAAGCCTCACTTTTCTAAGCTGAAATGCTGTCATCTGCTCAGTGGAAACCTCACAGCCAGAAGACTTCTTGCCAATCAAATTACTGTTTTCTTTTTACCTGTGGGAAAGGAGATTAACTTCACATCCATGTGGGTCCAATGTGCAGCCCCCTAAGGGTGCTCTGGGAGGCTTCAGGAAGTGCCTGCTGGCTCGAAATAGAAATGCAGAAGCAGCAGCCTGCTGGGCAAGTGCAGCCTTTTAAGCCACTGCTAAGACAAGCAGGTCCCAACTGTGGGAGGCTAGAATGTTCTTAAAAGAGCAGTGAGCCGGGCGCGGTGGCTCACGCCTGTAATCCCAGCACTTTGGGAGGCCAAGGCGGGCGGATCACTTGAGGTCGGGAGTTCGAGACCAGCCTGACCAACATGGAGAAACCCCATCTCTACTAAAAATACAAAAAAATTTGCTGGGCGTGGTGGTGCATGCCTGTAATCTCAGCTACTCAGGAGGCTGAGGCAGGAGAATCGCTTGAACCTGGGAAGCGGAGGTTGCAGTGAGCCAAGATTGCGCCATTGCACTCCAGCCTGGGCAACAAGAGCAAAACTCGATCTCAAAAGAAAAGCAGTGAAAAGAGCCCAGGAGTTGCAGCTGGGCGACACTGGGCCGATTCTTTCTTCCTCTCGGAGCCTGAGGTTCCCTGTCTGTGAGAGGCCTCAGGCTGTGGTAGTGGTAGAGTCCTGCTGCCTCGGTGGGCTTCTACAGACTGGAACACATGACAGCGTTTTTACAAAACACCATTTAAAAAATTATTTTGGCTTATATAAGTAATACATGTGCCCTGTAGAAAATTTGGAAAATAAAGTATAAAGAAGGAAATCACCTGTTACCCCACCACCCACAGTGACTACTGTTCTTTGGGGTTTTTCCATACATATTCTGTGTGGGATCTCAGAGCACAAGCTGTTTTATAACCTGCTTCTGCGCCTGAGCTTTTCTCAGCGTGTCACCACCTCACTAGATCCCTCACACTGTCGTCCCTGTCTGCACAGGACCCCAGAGGAGGGGTGGGGCTGCAGCCAACTCTTCAGTGTCGGCAAGCCCTTACACTTTCCTTCTCAGTAATTGTGTCACTTCTATTTCTGTAGGGCAACGGGACTTGAAGAAGGGGGGCTGTTTTGCCCCCCAAGGGGCATTTGTCAGTGTCTAGACTTTTGATGGTCATAAGTTGGGGAAGCAAGGACTACTGGCATGCAGCGGTTGGAGGCCAGGGCCGCTGCTGGACATCCTGCAGCGCACAGGACGGCCCCCACTAGAGTCGTCCGGCCCAAGTGTCTGGAGCGCCACTGTGGAAACCCCGCCGTGGACTCATTCCCTAGCTGGGAAGTCCCTGAGTGGACAGGAGGGACAGCTGAGGGGGGGCTTGGTGCAGCCAGACTGCCCTGCAGGGAGATGTCTCCAACACCCAGGACGTCTTCCTGCATCCTTGCCACCCCTAGGTACTGTCGTTTGCTGCCCATGTTTGACAGTGCTTTCTAGGAGAATTGCCCGTTAAAGTCTCCGGAGGCCGAGGAGAAGGACGGCTGTCGAGACTGTTGGAGGTTTCGGGGAACTAGTGGCACAGGCAGACAGGATTGTCGCTCCCCTCCTGAGGGGAGTGTATATTAGGCCCTGCCTGGTCCCCAAAAGAGTTAATGCAGCAAGATAAAATATGTGAGGCACAGGGAGGAGAGTGGGCCCCAGAGAGTTGGGGGTCCAGGCCCTGTGGGCTCCACAGGCCAGCCAAGGCCCCACCCACCTTCAGAGTTTTACTGCCTCAGAAGTCGTTCTGAGCCAGGCCCAGCCCTCTCAGCCTTCCCGGACAGTGCATTGAGAGGCCTGCACGGGGTGATTAGGGGTTCCGCTTGTTTGCCCACTGGTGGTTCTAGGAGCACCCCACTCTGAGAGTCCACATGGGAAAAGGGGAGCATTGAAACACAAGAAGTGACAGTCCTGCCCAGGCATGCCCTCAGCCCTGTGTTCACCTCACAGTGGGGCCCACGCCACCCCAGGGATAGTCGGGCGGGCTCTGCCCAAGTGGTGAGGGGGACTGAGCCAGCAGGAGCAGCAGGCGGAGCTGCAGCGGGAGCAGCTCTTGAACAGGAAGAGGGCAGCAATGACGAGGTCCCCTGGTGGTGGGGCTTTGCTGGCCAGGTACCCACTGGGTCAGCACTGCTTCCTCACTGCCCTCAGCCTCCCCTTTCCAGAGGGGTCCACTTCCTGTGCTCACTTCAGGCTCTTCATCCCAGCCCTGCTCCCCAGACTCCAGACTGTACAGCTCGGCTTGGCCTGGCCTGGGCCTTCCTGGGAAAAGGCTAAGCCAGAAACTGGCCCCTGTGCCCGGGCTGGTCAGCCAGGGAGGGACCAGTCTAGGGTCCAAAGAATGGATGCAGAAGTCCCCCCCAGCCTTCTGCACCAGGGGACCTGCCCCCTATGTCTCTAGCCTACCAGGTGTTCACTTAGGGAGGTGGACGCTTCAACCCTGCCCTTAGGGCCCCCCACATGCCAAGCCCAGCGGCAGATTCGGGGATGTGCCCCACTGCTGCTCCTGGACCCCAGTGTCTAGGTTGACAATCCCCTTGTGTGCCAAGGAGGTGAGAGTCCAGTGTTCCGCAACTCAGGTGTCCAGGGACGCAGTGCGTGTGGAGATGCAGGATGAGGCCTGCCCCAAACCCTGATCCCCAGGGGTGGGGCGGAGGAGGCCCTGGCCAGTAGGTGGCAGCACAGGCTGCGTCCTTGGAGCTTAGGAGCTGGAGGAAGGTGGGGAGCAGGATTCCTAGCCCCCGGCTGCCTCACCCGTCCACCTCCACTCCCTGAGCTGGCCGAGCCCCTCAGGGTGCCCAACCATAGTAGGAGCCCTGAGTCAGAGGCTGGGCAGGGACAGCAGCAACTGGCAACTAGAGTGAGTTGCAGGGGGTTGGGGGGAGGTTGCATGAGGGACCAGGGAGACCAATCCCTAAACAGCCCCAACCCCCCTTCTGCCTACCTTGTGGTCCCACCTTGAGGCCAAGGGGCTGGACACCCAGAGGCCCCCGAAGTGGCTGCCAGTGAAGGGGGGACCAGTGGTTCCCCAGGGCTGCTAGAGGATCTTGAGGGCTGAGCCCAAGGGCCAGTGGGGTTGGGGGGCTGTTCAGCCTGAAGGCTGAGGCTGGGAGGGAAGAGAAGATAAGAGAGTAGGTGTTGGCGGGGTAGGAGGGAGGTAGGGAGATGTCTGGATCTGATAATGTTGCAGCTTGGAAGACTGGAGGAGGAACCCAGTTGGAGGGACCGGAAAGCTCTCAAGTTTCTGAGCTCAACCCCCACCTCCACTATCCCTACCTCCCCCACCCTGCAGGATGAGCCCGAGGAACGTGCTAGGCTCCACACCCAGGCCTGAATGCCCTCAGATGCTCAGGCCTGGAGCTCCTCCCTCATTCTCCCCAGTGTTCCTGCCTGCACAGCCCAATAGACATGAGGAAAGGGGCCCATGGACTAGGTGGGACAGGCAGAACAGAGTGGCCACCTGCTGGCTTCTTTCCCTTCTCACGGAAGGCAAGGCCCACGGCAGGCCCAGGACTCAGACTCCTGGGGCCTGGCTGCTGCCCTTCCCCCTCCCCCCGGGAAAGGAGAGGCACCACTCAGAGGCAGGCAGGCCAAAACCCTAGTTTATTTCAGCATCAGCAGTATCTTAGCCATCAAAAAAATAAACTCTACCAAGGGTGACGAAGTCTCTACAGCAAGGCTAAGGGCTCGCCAGGCGGCGAACATCAGGGGTGCATGGTGGGCACTGCCCAGGCAATAAGTTAGGAAGCAGCAGGGCTGGTGTCGGGTGTGGGCCGGGCTTCACTTCTGGGCAGGCATGAGGTCGTCGATGGCCTGGCCCTGCTCCAGCCGCTGCTCCATCTCAATGAGCAGCTTCACTCCGTCCACCACCATCTGCACCAGCTCCACCTCCGAGAAGCCCAGGCGGTCAGCGTTGGAGACGTCGAAGACCCCGCCCACCGCAGCCGTGTCCACACCGCCTGGGGAAGACAGCAGGTCAGGGCGGAGGAAACAGGGCTGTCCAAAGGCCAACAGGAAGCCTGCAGCACCCGCCCTGCTCACCTGTGCCTCGCTTCTGAAGTCGTAGCCGCTTAAGCACCTCAGAGAACTTCTCATGCTTGCCCAGGTGGGGCAGCTTGATGTGCACTCCTGCCCGAAGCCCTGTGCCCAGGTTGGATGGGCAGGTGAGGATGTAGCCCAGGTGAGGGTTCCACATGAACTCATAGTTCTTAGACTTGAAGAGAGTTTCAATCTGCAGACGGAGAAAAGGGTATGAGGGAGAAGGCCTGCCTGAGACCTCCACAGGCCTTGAGACTCCCAAGTCCCAGAAATCCCCCAGGGGGACTGATGGGGCACCCACATCCCTGCTGGAGCCCTGGGGTCTGGGCCTGCCCCGTCCCTGGCACCTGGGTGAGGCCGGTGCAGAAGCGGGTGAACACCTCCTTCATGTTGCCCCCCTTCTGCATGGAGATGACCCGCAGGTGGTCCTCCTCGTTGACCCACACCAGGAAGGTCTTATTGTCATTGTGCCTGCGGGAGGGCTGGTCTCAGGGCATATCCAGAAAAAAGCCCCAGGCTGTCCCCAGACCAAAGGAACTTCCCAAGTCCCCGAGGTGCTGCTCCCAACCGTGCCCTGGAGCGGGGGGCTGCTGCCAAGACTCCGCCCAACACGGGGCAGGCGGGGCCGAGACGCCTCACAGTGAGCAGAACCCCGGCTGCCATCACTGCCATCACGTCGTGCAGTGGTCTGAGGTGGGGCAGGGCCAGGGACCGTCAGGACAGCCCCGCCCGCCCCCCACAGTGGGGGTAGGAGCCCTGCCCCCGGAGAAGCTTCTGCGTCACCAGCCCCTGGTAGAATCCCAGCGACAGAGGAGTGAGAAAACAAGGAGCTCCAGCTCCCGAGGGGCGTCGGGCAGAGGCGCCAGGGACCCCGCCCCCACCTCACGTCTCTAGGGGCGCTGAGTCCTGAGCCCCCAGGGGCCTGGGCCCAGTACCTTAACGCACCTGCTCGGCCAAGGTCACCTGCGCGGGAGGCGCAGCACGTAACCCAGACCCGGAGCGCGGCCGGCCCCTCCCTCCTCCTCCTCCTCCTCCTCCTCCTCCTACCCCACCCCTCCTCCCCGCCGCGAGGGGCCCCACCCCGGAGAGGGGGGACGAGAGGGAAAGGGGAGGCGGCGGAGAGGGCGGACGCCGCGAGAGGGCGCAGAGGGACACGCACCAGATACCGCGGGCGTCGGGCCAGTCGCGGGCCATGCCCGAGGCCAGCAGCAGAGGTGACACGGGTTTGTCGAAGAGGAAGTGGTCGTCGATGAGCTGCTGCTGCTCCGCCTCCGTCATGCTCTTGAGCGCGTAGTACCGGCCCGCCAGGTCGCCGTCCAGGCTGGACAGGGCTGCGGGGCGTGCGCTCAGGACGCTCGGCTGCCGCGCCCGCCCCTCCAGCCCACAGCGCCGACCCGCCCGCCCCCGTGCTCCACCCCGGGGGACGTCAGAGGCCCCCACCCGCCCAGACTTGCGGGCGTCGAGTCCTCATGGCCCGGGCGACGGTCCCAGTCGGTGACCCCGCGCCAGGACCCGCCCTCCCTGGGCCCCAGGCCGCTGTGGGCGCGGGGCTGGGCCTCCGTCCCTCGGTCCCTCCGGGAAACTGAACCCAGGGGCGCGCAGATAAGAGCGCGGCGGCGGCTGCCGCTCCCAGGCGACATAAACAAAAGCGGGCGGGGACCGCGCCGGGAGGGGCACGCAGCTGCCGCCGACCCTTGGCCCGCCCGGCCCCTACCTTCCACCGCGAGCTTCTCGATGGCGCGGCGCTCCCCGCGGCTGCAGTGCGGGGGCAGGCAGAAGCCGCGGATGCTGCGGCCCGTGCGCACCCGCGAGCTCAGCACGTAGTTGGGGTCCAGGTCGTCGCCGCCCTGGGGGGCGAGACGGGAGTGAGCGCCCGGAGACCCCACCCCGGCCCGGCCCGCCCGGCCCGCCCGCCGCCCCGCACCTGCAGGTTGTCGGGGTTGAGGTCGGTCTTGTGCTCATCGCTGGGCTTGTAGCCGCCGTGCCGGTCCTCGATGATGGGGTCGAAGAGATCCTTGAACACGTCGTAGGACTCCTCGTCGCCCGCCACGCAGCCCACGGTCATGATGTACGGGTGGCCTAGGGGAGGGGGCGCGGGACGGAGACAGTGACGTCACTGCCGGGCCCGAGCGCGCTGCTGAGGACCGTGCGGCTGCGCGCGGGGAGGGGGCGCCGGGACCCCGGCCCCGAGGGGTCGCGTACCCGGGTTGTCCACGCCTGTCTGGATGACGTCGTCCAGCGTGAAGCCGCTCGGCGTGCTCTTGGCGCGCAGCTCCGCGTACAGCTCGGGGGTCAGCACCTTGGCCATGTGGTTGTTGTGGGCGCTCAGGTCCGGGAACTCGTCCTCGGCGGGGAAGCGCAGCTTCAGCGCGTTGTGGCTGTTGGAGAAGGGCATGGCGGCGGCGGGCTGCGGGGAGACGCGGGGTCAGCAGGGACCGGCAAGCCGGGGTTCCCGGACTCCCGCGTGCCACTCAGGCCCCCGCCGCCCGGCCCCTCGGCGCCCCCAGGACGCGGCCAAGGTCAGAGGGGTCCGCAGCGCGCGCGGGGAGCGCCATCATCGCCCGGGACCCCCGGCCGGTCCGGCGCGCGCTCCAGGCAACGCGCCCGGAGCGCGTGACGCCGCAGCGCCCGCGCCCCCTTTGCACGCAGCGCCCCTAGCCCCGGCGCCGACGCCCCCGGCCCCCGGGCCCACTCACCGGGCGGCCGGGCGGGGGCGGGGGCGCTCCGTCCGTCGGCAGCTCCCGGAGCGACGCAGGCGAACAGCGGCCGCTCCGCGCTCCCGCGGCTCTTAAGGGACGCAACGAGGGCCGCCCATTGGCGGCTATTTATAGCCCATTCATTCCATTGGCCCGCGCCGCGGGGTGGTGCCGCCGCTTTGTCCGCCGCCCGCAGCCCCTGACACCCCCGGCCGCCCACCCGAGCTGTCTCCCCGCTGGGACCCCGCGCAGCCTGCCCAGTCCCCCGCCCAAGACCTCGAGGCAGAAACCTCAGATCCTTGAATATCTGGATCCCCTCGCACGCCCCTGCCTCCGAGCGGGAAACTGAGGCGGAGAGCCTCTGGGCACTCGAGGACGCTCGGGTTCATCCGCATCCTCCAGCCTGCCCGCCTAGTCCAGCCAGCCCCCGCGGCGGCGGCGAGGGGCCGGGCGAAAGCGTTCAGGGCTTCCGCAGCAGGTACTGCCCCCACCCCACCCCCGGCCAGTGCGAGCTGGCCCGGAGCCGCCGACCTTCCTCAAGGTGCCCGCAGGCATCTCCTGGGCGATCTTGGTGCAAAGCGAAGGCGCGCGGGAGGCGCAGTCTGGCTGCGGCCCAGCCCGGGGGCACCCGCGGTGCCCTGACCTTGGACAAGTCCTGGGGCTCTGGGGAATGCGAGCCAGAAACCACGCGGACACTGTGGTCTTAAGAGGCCGCTGGCAAGTGCAGCCTTGGAGTTTCCAGACCCCAACCCTGGGCCCTCTTCGCAGGGGACAAGCTCACCCGACCCCCAAAGGCAGTCCCCAGAGACTTCAGGCAAGGATGGGAGGAAATGCTAATAAACAATAAGCATAAATGCGATTTAAAGAAGAAGAAGAAAAAAAAAATCTCACGAATAACTAGAGTCATGCAAATTAAGCAGTGACTCCACCTCTCCCTACCCCCAGCACTCCCAGATCGACTCCAGCCAGTGCTGGCTATGAGCTGGAATGAGGGGAGACAGGCGTCCGCACGCTGCCTGCAACTTGAATTGCTGCCTGCTTTTTGCAAGGTAATTTGGCAGAATCTATTAACATTAACAATGTTGGAACTCCGTGACCCAGCAATCCCCCTTCTAGGAATGCAGCCCTTAGAAAGGATGTCTCAGTTCTCTCCACTAATGGACCAAGAGATCTGTGGAGGGAAAAACAAACACATCTGGATACAACCCGATGCCCATCAGGCGGGACTGGCCAAGGGTAGGAAGGCACCTGCTTGCTATGGAATATTATGCAGCTGTTAAGAGGGGGAAGTGGAGTATGTGGGGTTAATATCCATTAAAGACCCTCATTCGTTGCTCTGTGAATAAAGCAAGGAAGGGGGGAACCCTTATCTGTGGGTATATTTGATATAAATCCCTCCAGCAGTGGCACAGTGAGCACCTGCCCGGTGCCAGCCGCTGGGGATGCGTCAGGGAGCGAGGTACACAGTGCCTGCTGCTGGAGGAAGACTGGCCATGAGCCAGCAGTCCAGCAAACCAGATGACATCACATCAGTGCTGCTGGGGTCAGGGGGACACAGAACACCGCAGTTCCAGGTACAAGGGATCCCAAATAGATGCCTCTGAGGAGAAGGCACCAGAGCCAAGGCCCAAAGGCAGGGGAAGCCCGTTCACCTCTGCCTATGTTAGCATCTATGTGTGGGCCCTGCCTCTTGTCTCCTCCCCATGCTCACTGCAGAGGAGACACATGCCTCTTTGCTTCTTAGCATACTTCGTCCTGTTCCAAGTCAGCATTTTTTAGACTAATAAAACCAACCGATGTAAAAAGGCAAATGGCCCCTCTGGGCTGGCCAGACAGCAGGTGTCCCTTAAGCCTGGAATTCCTGCACTCTGTGCCCCATGCAGCCTCTTCCCCTAATTTTAGATATTTCTGCAGCTGCCCACCCACTACCCCACAAAGCCTGAAGGGCTTAAGTTTCTGTTTCTGGAAGGGATAGCTGCAGCCCCTGGAGGCAGACTTGGGGGACAGACTTGGGGGCCACACTCAGGACTTCCTCTGTCTTCAGCATCTGCAGCTTCTCAGAAGGCCACCCCTCCCCTCTCTCACCCTCCTGGCTGACAGCCTAACCTGCTTCCCCAGGTCCCCCATGGGAAAGGACCTCCTTTCTCCTTTCCTGAAGGGGGCCAGCCCCTCCACACCTGTGGGTATTTCTCGTCAGGTGGGACGAGAGACTTAGAAAAGAAATAAGACACAGAGACAAAGTATAGAGAAAGAACAGTGGGTCCAGGGGACCGGCGCTCAGCATCCGCGACCCGCGCCGGCACTGGTCTCTGAGTTCCCTCAGTATTTATTGATCGCTATCTCTACTATCTCGGTGAGGGGGATGTGGCAGGACTATAGGGTAATGGTGGGGAGAGGGTCAGCAGGAAGAGATGTGAACAAAGGTCTCTGTGTCATAATAAGTTTAAGGAAAGGTGCTGTGCCCTGATGTGCACGTAGGTCAGATTGATGTTTGACTTTACACAAACATCTCAGTGCAGTAAAAAGCAGTATTGCCACCAGCACGTCTCAACTCCAGCCATAAGGCGGTTTTCTCCTATCTCAGTAAATAGAATGTACGATCGGGTTTTACACTGAGACATTCCATTCCCAGGGACGAGCAGAAGATAGATGCCTTCCTCTTAACTGCAAAGAGGCCTTCCTCTTTCACTACTCCTCCTCAGCACAGACCCTTTACGGGTGTCAGGCTGGGGGACAGTCAGGTCCTTCCCTTCCCACGAGGCCGTATCTCAGGCTGTCTCAGTGCGGGGAAACCTTGGAAAATACCCAGACTTTCTTGGGCAGAGGTCCCTGCGGCCTTCCGCACTGCATTGTGTCCCTGGGTACTTGAGACTGGAGAATGGCAATGACTTTTACCAAGCATACTGCCTGCAAACACATTTTTAACACAGCACCTCCTGCACAGCCCTAAATTCATTAAACCTGGAGTCAACACAGCACGTTTTTTCGAGCACAGGGTTGGGGCTAGGGTTACAGATTAACAGCATCTCAAGGCAGAAGAATTTTTCTTAGTACAGAACAAAATGGAATTTCTTGTCTTCTTCTTTGTACATAGACACAATAACAGTCTGATCTCTCTTTCTTTTCCCCACACTTCCCCTCCACAGGCAAGGGCAGAACTGCAGAGGGGAGGTCCAGAGGGCAGGGCTGCCTATGGCAAGCAGTGAGCCGGGCACTGGGGCGGCTCCGGGCTGGGGCCGCTGGCAACCCTCAGCCTTTTGAGGTGGGTATTTTTGTCCCCAGTGTGCAGACAGATCATTTTATTTTTGTTTTTATTCTGTTGAGACAGGGATCTCGCTGTGTTGGCCAGACTGGTCTCAATGTGCAGATAGATCAGAAGTTGGGTGACAGAGGTGTCCAGTGATGGGCCCAGAAATCCTGCCACCCTCCCAGAGCCCGGCCCTGTACTAGCCTGCCTGGGGCAGACCCACAGTGCAGGGGGCCAGGCAGCTGTGATGGGGGCAGCAGCAGCAGATGACAGTGGGGAGGTGGCCCTCAAGGCCTTCAGACACAAATGTCAGGGTGAGACCCCCCAGGCAGGGGCTGATTGGGAGCCTCAGTGGCCCCCAGAGCAGGGGCACAAGGGGAGGGGTCTGGAAGGTGGTGGCCTCCCCTCCAGCTGACTCCCCTGTCTGCAGACCCCTGCTCTCCCCAGGGCCCACAGGAGCTGCTTTGGCAGCATCCAGGCAGGAGGCTGGATGACGTTACCAGGCCAGTGTTTGGTCCAGGTTCCTCAGAAACCACACCTGGTTACACATGAACCACTGGGCCTGGAGGGGGCTTCGAAGGAGGCCCAGGCCTTTTATCCACAGAACATGAGCCCGCTCGGCAGGGCAGGCCCAGGGCAGGCTGCAGGTAGGCACCGGGAGCCATCCTTGGAGTCTGCTCCCGGAGTACAGCCGGAGGCAGCATTGCTTCCTCCCAGTGCCCTGCCGCTGACTTCTGCAGAACCCAAAGAGGAAGTGGGCTGAGGTCAGGAGAGGACAGGGGCTGACTGGGGTTCACAGAGCACAGTGGGGTAGGAGGCTGTGCTGGTCAGTGGGGTGGGGGGACTGCAGTCACGTGGTCCCTGCCAGGCATTTGGGCAGAGCAGCCTCCCCAGTGGGCATCTTCCTGCCTGTTCCCACCTTTCTTCAAATCAGCCATTGGTTCTCTGAAGCTGGTTTACTGGCTTTAACTATTAATTAATTAATTACGAGATGGGGTCTTGCTATGTTGTCCAGGTGGAACTCCAACTCCTGGCCTCAAGCAGTCCTCCTTCCTCAGCCTCCTCAGTGCTGAGCTTTGTGGGTTGACTGGCTTTAAATCCTAATCCCACTTTGACCTCACTGGCTGTGACCTTAGGCAAGTTATTTAAGCTCTCTGAGTTTCAGTTTCCCCATCTGTGAAGTGTTCCCTCCCTCCTAGGATCCTGGGGAGAATTCAATGCAATGACACAGCTGTGCATCCACAACATCGACTTTTGTTAGGGGAGCCCCAGCACAAACTCTGCACAGGGGCTCATCAGCTGGGGTAGAGGCGGTGGTTCTGCTTGAGGACTCAGGCTGGGGACTGGGGCAGGCTCAGATGGAGCCAGGTGGGCAGGGCTGAGGAGGCTGCCTGGAGGAAGCGGCACTGGAGTTGACCAGCCATAATGGACAGAGGCAAGTCGGAAGTTGGAACCAAGGGAAACCACCACCGAGTCACCAAGTCCTAACTTAGGCCCTTATAGGCACTTGGCCTTGACTCCACACCACAGCTGAGAGGCTGGGGAAGAGAAACCCAAGAGAAGTGGAAAGTCAGAATCCCCCAGGGGAGAAATTAGGGGGTGACTCAGGGGGGTGCACCATCAAGGGAGACAAGCACCCGCTCGAACACAGGCTGGGGAGCTGCGGATGGCTCTGGGTTGTCTCAGCGTTGAGAGCAGAAGGCAGGGAGGCCATGAGGCAGAGGGACAGGCAGTTGGTGGCCAGTGTGGTGTCCCCACAGGGATAGGAGCCCACAGAGTGGGAGGCCATGGAAGGCCTCTCGTCAGCTCACTCCTGGGGGCTCTCAGCCGCAGCTAGGACAGGGACGCAGAGGGGCTGAGGTTGGAACCCTGGGTTTCCATGATGGACCCTGAGAAGCCAATGCAAGGACCACAAACACCGTGGCCTGGCCTGCCCCAGAGGCGAGAGAGTTGAGAGTGTTCCACAGGCTGCCGGGGCTCCAGAGCAGAGCTTGCTCTCAAGGAGCCTGGCCACCTCATTCTACCAGGCTGCAGTGGCTGAGTGACTGGGGAAAGGTGGCCTAGGGTCATTGCTAACTGGCTTGGGTTCGGGCATAGGCTAAACCCTAGGCTGGGTAGGGGAGTCTCTGTTCCTCTCCAAGCTCTGGTCCTGAGAGCTAAGGGCTGGAGGAAGAAAATCTGTGTCCCCTGCCCCCGCTCCCCTGCACACACACTCCACAGAGAAGCCAGCTGGGAATGGCATTGCTGAGACAGAACACCACTCCCGCTTCCCTTTTTTGCCTGTCCTCCAGCAGCACCTCCTCCAGTCTCCTGCTCAGGCTCCTCACCAGACTCCAAAGTGGGCCCAAGTCATCCGGTTCTCATTATGCCTTGGTTCCCAGGAGGGGATACATGACTCCCTCTCCCCCCTAGAAGCAGCTCTGCACTCAGGAGAACGTGCCCCCGTCGGGGGAGGCAGGGCCTGGGCGGAAGGCCACTTCTGCAGACTTTTCCAGGTCCCCATCTGCTGCACAGAGCTCTGGCTGACCCTAGCCCGAACCTTTTAGGACGGCCCCTTGACCTGCGATTCCTTTCTGGAATTCATCTTAGGGCCCAGTCAGGGGTGTTTCCAGAGCAGTCTGCAATAACAAAATGTCTATGGCAAAGTGTCTTCATAGAGGACTGGGCAGTGAGCCACGGGCCAGCCCTCTGGTGGATCCCCAGGGGCTGTCGAAGGGGTCCGGGACAGCAGTGACAGCCAGGCCTTGGCTCCTGCCGCCCTTCAAATGTGCCTGGGTGCGATGGCGACCCGCGGCCGGCGGGGCGGGGGGACCTTTGGTTGGTTTGTTATTATTTGTAGAAATGGTGGGGTCTCACTACGTTTCCCGGGCTGGTCTCGAACTCCTCAGCTCAGAAGAACCTCCCGCCTCGGCCTCCCAAAGCGCGGGATCACAGGCGACAGCCACCACGCCGGCCGGCCGCCATGTGGATTTTGTACAGTCTTTCGATCTTCCAGCGACCAGCAAGTGTAAACAGAGCAGCTCACATGAGGCAAGAAGTCGCCCAGGAAACGTCCTCTGGGAGGGGCGGGAAGGGCAGCCTGGCGCTCCCAGGATCCCGTGCGCGGAGGGGGCGAGGCGGGGCGCGACGTCATCAGCGGGCGCGGAGCCGGAAGTGTTGTGGCCGCCCCCGTCGCGCGTCGCGGAGGCACGTGTGGAGTCCCAGCGGCGGGAGCGTCGCAGGTGAGACTCCGTGGGGTCCAGGGTGGCAGGGCGCGGGTGAGAGTGGCCCGGGCCGAGCGCGGCGCGCAAGTCCTGTTCCTCCAGCCTCGCATGAGCGGCCCCCGCCGGCCCGGCCTGGCCCCTTGCTGCCTCTGCACCGGCTGGGCGGTGTTTGCGTGGACGGCCAGCTCTGAGTCACCAGCCCCTTCCTGGGGAGCCCTTACCCCTCTGTCATACCCTGCTACCCAGCCCCTGTGGGGGAGACTGGGCCGAGGAATCAAGCCTGGCTTGGAGGTGACCTCATTGACCATTTGCCTCTCCCCCGCCGGTGGACACCTCGGAAAGGCGCTTCCTCCTCTCACACCTGGGGAATGGGAGTCAGACTCATGGAGAAGGGTGATGGGAGGGTCGGGTCCTCACTCCGGAAATCCTTGGGACCGACCTCCGCCATTGCCAAGCCTCTGTCTTTTCATCTCTGATTTAGGCTCATAGTCCCTGTCTCTTGTCCTAGACCAAGAAAGGCTTCAGAGGCCAGGCCAGAGTGCAGCGCTATTGGGCTCCCTGTCAGGCAGTTGCAGAGACTGAACTAGCCACACCCTGCCCATGCCCACTGCTGGGATGTAGGCCTCGAAGCCTTCTACCTAGACCCCAGACCCTCATCCTGCCTCCTGACTTGCTCATACCTACACACACCCCTCCCCAGGTCCTTGGCACTTGCCAGACATTAGCACCATGAGCTTCGTGGCATACGAGGAGCTGATCAAGGAGGGTGACACGGCCATCCTGTCACTGGGCCATGGTGCAATGGTGGCAGTGCGTGTGCAGCGTGGGGCACAGACCCAGACCCGGCATGGTGTCCTGCGGCACTCAGTTGACCTTATCGGCCGCCCCTTCGGCTCCAAGGTGACGTGCGGCCGAGGTGGCTGGGTGTACGTGCTGCACCCCACGCCGGAGCTCTGGACGCTGAACCTGCCGCACCGCACACAGATCCTCTACTCCACAGACATCGCCCTCATCACCATGATGTTGGAGCTTCGGCCCGGCTCTGTGGTCTGTGAGTCTGGTGAGTTCCTCAGGCTGCCTCAGTTTAACTCGGAAATTGACACAAAGGTGGAGGTCAGAGCCTCCAGCCTGCGCTTCCTACAGACAGATGTGGCTCCTCGGTTTCTATTTTCACATCTTTCCGGAACGCGGACAGCAGGGAGTGAAGGTGGAGGCAGGGAAGCCCGTTAGGAGGCTGGTGCTGTAACTGGAGTGAGAGGTGGCTGTAAATGGACCAGGGGGAGCTGGGGAGGACTGGTGCTCTAGTGAGGGTCCTGCTTGCCTTCGTGGGGTGTGGCCAACTTGATGCTTGGCGCTGTCCTAGGTGCTGACCGTCAACCTCTAGTCCTCAGTGCTGATGGTGAAGCAGAGAGAGTTGCCCCTTCTGGAAAGAGGCCAGGGCTACCCCAAGGAGCTCACTGTAGGTGGAGAGTGTTCCCATCCTCATCCGTGATCAGATCCTCACCTGCCACCAATGAATGTGAGCACCATTGTCATTGAGTCCAGGGCCTGGGCTGTGGGAACCCTGCACACATACAGGTGCTGGGGCTGCCCGGTGCAGTGATTGAAGCCAAGATTGGCCCCAGGCACTTAGGCATCTAGGTTGTTGGTGGCATGTTCCTCACGGGCAGGAAAGCTAGGGTTCAGGTTCACGAAGAGGGCCTAGCACGGCCATGCTGGCTTTCTGAGGGCTGCAGGTCACCGTGTCCCCCTCTGGGGTGTCTGGGTGGGAGGGGTGGAGAGCAGGACTTAGCCAATCCCATCAGCTGCTGCTCCTGTGCATCCTGTGGCGGGTGCTGGCCTCTCCGCCCCTGCTCCACTCTCGCGAGAGAGCTCAATCAAGCAGCACGCTTTTCCTGGCCTCCTCAGATATGCCAGGTCCCCTCCTCGGAACCGTGAACAAGACAGACCGGGTTCCTGCCCTCGAGGAGTGGGGACACAGCCTGGGTGAGCGGCTCAGTGCCACTGGTTACTGTGAAACTTGTGAGACAGGGCTGCGTGTCTGAGGGGGACCCAGAGTGGGGTCCCTCCAGCTAGGCCAGGCAGGGAAGACCTCTCTGAGGAGGGGACATTTGAGTTGAACATGATGAGAGGGGGCCTGCGAAGAGCCGAGGGACAGCGCCACCAAGGAGGAACATGTCGAGGCCCTGCAGTTGGAGTGTGCTGCCGAGTCAGGCTCAGTGGGGGAGGCAGAGGGGCTGGGAGTGAGGTTGGAGGGGAGGCGAGCTCCACCCCGGAAGCCAGCAAGTCTGACTTGCCCCTGAGTGGGAAGGAGGCATGGCCAGGCTCTGCGGCGGGGAATAGGCAGCAGACTAGGAGCACCTAGGGGAGGGGCTGCTCCCTAAAAAGAATGTGGGAGGTGGCAGGATGTGGGATGGGACAGAGGGAGTGGAAGCACCTCTACGGGTCTGGCCCAAGCGCTTGCGATGCTCAATGCAATTTGGGTTCGAGGGATGGGTAGCAAGTGTGCAGTAGCTGCTCTAGCAGGAGTCTCGAGTGGAGTGGGGCCTGGGGATGGGAGTGACATCAAGTAGATGACCCCTGAAGGTGGAGCAGGAGGAAGGACGCAGGCCCTGGCCCTTTCCACGGGACAGGAAGTCAAGCAGAGGGGCCATCCGGAGGGAAGCTGGGGCAGGTGTGCTGGGGAGGACTGAGGCTGTGTGGCTGGTGGCCAGGCCCTGCGTCCTGAGTCCAACCAGGCCACGGCAGAGCCCCAGTCCCCGTGTGGTGGGGTCAGGCTTAGGCAGGCTTGGTGGGGGTGGGCTGGACCAAGGGGACCAAGGAGCTTCTGGGGAGAGGTGGGCATGAGGACGGGCAGGGTAGGCCACTGTTGATGGGGACTGAGGAAGGGATTGGCCATGCCTGGAAGGAGACAGAGCTGAGCAATGGGATGGGCCTCTCTGTTCCCCCTGCACAGATTTCCCCTGAGGCTCCAGTCAGCTGGGCTGCTCTCAGTGCCTATACATGCGCCAGGCGGGATAGGGCAGGGTTGCCACTGGCCTGGCCTGTGCCCACAGCGGACACCACAGCATACACAGCCTGTCAACCCCAGCTCACCCCTAGACAGGGCGCCCAACCCAAGGCTAGCCCAGGGCTCTAGGCAGTGGGGACCACACAGCCCTGGAGTAACGCCCGCCTGTAATCTGGGGTCCTCCCGAGCACTGTGTGGGTCTCCAGGGTGAGGTGGGGGTTGTTTCCTGGGAGGCTGTGGGTCCCGAGCAGTCCCAACTGATGCCTTGCCCTTCCCATCTTGTCCTGCCAGGCACCGGCAGTGGCTCTGTGTCCCACGCCATCATCCGCACCATTGCACCCACGGGCCACCTGCACACGGTGGAGTTCCACCAGCAGCGGGCAGAGAAGGCCCGGGAGGAGTTCCAGGAGCACCGTGTGGGCCGCTGGGTGACTGTGCGCACCCAGGATGTGTGCCGCAGCGGCTTTGGCGTGAGCCACGTGGCCGACGCCGTCTTCCTGGACATCCCGTCACCCTGGGAGGCTGTGGGCCACGCCTGGGATGCCCTCAAGGTCGAAGGTGCACTAGGGGTTCCGGGAGAGGTACAGCCCGGGCGGGGTTGGGGCAAGGGTGCAGGACTGAGGGGTCCAGAAACCAAGCCACACCATGGCAATGGCTAGGCCAGGGCCTCGTCTTGGCCTTAGATGAGGAGTGGGTCAGGCTGGCCAGGGGAGGCAGAGCTGGGGAGGATAGGCCGATGGGGAGGATGTCAACCCCCTATCGGGAAAGGTGGCAGTGCCACCCAAGTGCAAGGCAGGCCCGGCTGGCGGTGTGCGGAATCCCCTGCCCGTGCTGTTTCCCGAAGTCTCTCCTCCCACGAGCTCTGGAGCCCAGGGAGCTGGCCCCTTTTAGGGAAGATGCTGGGTGCGGAGGCGGGGCAGCCCTGGGGAAGGTCGGGCCTCAAGCCAGGGAGGTGGCTGGGACGCCAAAGTTTTTCCCTTTTCTGGAGAAGGAGCAGTTCAGGCAGCAGGGGCCCCTTCTTCCCAGCTGAGAGTTGCATTGTGAGAGGGTGGAGGGTGGGGGTGTGGGGCGCCCCGCCCCACCTCAAAGACTAGCCGAGGCCCTGTACGGACAGCAAGGCCGTGGCCGGGCATTCCCTGCTGGCTCTGGCCCAGCCCTGACTCCTGGGTGCTGGTCTCTGCTGAGGCCTTGGGGTAGCTGTGGGGATCTCCCCGCTCTGCCTCCTAGGCTCCCTGCTCTGGGGACACTTCTGGGCCTGGACCGTAGTCCCGGGGAGGCTGAACCCGGCAGAACCCCTCCTGGAGCCCCCATGCTGCCTTTGTGACTCCTTCCTCCGGAGTGGCCCGGGGAACCTGCGCCTGCCTCTGGGACCTGTCCCTTCTCCTGCCAGCTCCCCCTTCTGGGTCCAAAGGCTCCGGGCTCATTCAGGGGCCTGGCGTCTCCTGCTGGTCACTGGACCCCATTGGGGAGGGTGCGGTGCGCTCAGCCTCGGCGCCCTGTCTAGGCTGTTGTCACACAGAAGGTGCCTCCTCTAACCCTAAACCTCCCGGCGGCCCCGTGTCAGGGTACACCTGAGGGGACCAAGCCTCAGGGACATTTGAGGACATTTGTCTGGGCCATACCTCTACCCGGCCCTGGCTTCCCCAGGTCCTCCCAGCCAGGACAGGAACTGACCCGGGCTGGGTTCTCATTCACTGCAGGCCAGGCCAAGTGAAGCCCGCGGCTGCCCTGGTGGGAGGCGGCGGGGAGGGGCTGTCATGCTCAGGCTGTGCTTCGAGTAGGCGCCTCCTGTTCCCGGGAGCAGTGACAGCCTCTGATTTCCTGTGACAGCAGCGGCCCCCGCACCGCCCCGCGCTGCCGTGCTGTCAGAGCTACTCTGGGCCCAGCGCTCCAGCAGCCCCGTGGAAGGCAGGAGAGCAGTGCCCACTGTGGGCCAAGTGAGACAATGGCGGCACAAGCTTGACCCAGTGCCTGGCATGTGGGAGGGCCTAGTGCGGCTAAGCTGGGTGACATGAACAGTGGCGCCAGGCCCCATGGTGGGCTGCCAGTTGAGGGCCAGGCCCCTCTGCCCTGCATCCCAGCTCTCTGGAGAGCTTGCAGTCTGCGTTGGGACCATCTTAGGTTGGCCTCAGACCCTAGGGTGGGAGTTCAGGGATGCCAGGGCCAGACAGGCCACTCCTGCCCTCTGACCCTCGGGTCCTGTTTCCCACAGGTGGGCGCTTCTGCTCCTTCTCGCCATGCATCGAGCAGGTGCAGCGCACGTGCCAGGCGCTGGCGGCACGTGGCTTCTCGGAGCTGAGCACCTTGGAGGTGCTGCCACAGGTCTACAACGTGCGCACTGTCAGCCTGCCACCACCCGACCTGGGCGCAGGCACAGATGGCCCTGCCAGCCCTGACACTGGCCCCTTCCGCAGCGGCACGCCCATGAAGGAGGCCGTGGGCCACACTGGCTACCTGACCTTCGCCACCAAGACCCCAGGCTAGGGCGTCGCCACCCAGGGCATCAGGGAGCTGGGAGCACCGAAGGGCTGGGCAGGGAGGCCAGAGGCACCTTATATGGTCTGCAATGCCTGCCAGACACAGATGGTGGGGCGGGGCTTGGGGGCCTCCTGGGTGGCCAGAGTGGGACGGCAGGAGGGGTGGCTATGATGGAGGAGGAGTGCTGGGGCTGGGCCTCAGCCATTGCTGTCCAGTCCCGCGGCCCATCCCAGCTGCTGTTTGTTGCCAATATGAAGTCTCCACTGTCACAGGCTCCCCTGGATGTTGAGGCCAAAGGGTGCAGGTGGGGGAGTCTGACCCCCTCCCAGGTGGGCCTAAGCAGGAAGGGAGTGGGGGAGGGAGGGGGCATTGTCCCCGAGGCCATGCTGCATCTGACTCCTGAGCCCCCACGGCCCTGGCTGCCCCACAGGGCCTGAGACCATCTCGTGTTTCTCCAGTTCCCGGGCCGAGGCTCCAGCCTGGGCCAGAAGCTGGGGTGAGATGACCCAGGATCCCTGCCCTGCCCTCCCCAGTGCTAGGAGACCAGGCCAGCCCAGGAACCAGGGAGGTGACCCTGCTCTCTGGCCTTCAGGCTGATGTCACAGCACTGGGCTCAGCCCAGGCCTGCGTCCACTCAAGTCCAAGAGGCGGGGCAGCCCGCACCCAGCCAGAGCCCCTTGACACAGGCCAGGCAGCGCTGCGGAGAGCAGCAGCAGAGCGGGTTGTTCGCCACAGGCGACCAGGCAAGCGTGTCGGGGCTAGGGTGTGAGTGCCAGCCTGTGAGTCCTGGAACTATGTGGGCACCCCTACCCCTCACAGAAGCCAGGGGCATGGAGGAGGCCCCCCCACGGGACAACAGTGTAGGGTCCAGGAGGTGTGTCCAGGACACCTTCCAGGGACAGTGCCTATGTGAACACCTCTCAAAGGCTAAGGGGGCATTTTCCAAAGCGGGGACAGAGGGTGGGACACCCAGGCTGGGGGGCTCTCCTCGCCCGCCCTGGTGTGTGACAGCCTCAAGGGAGGACCGGTGCCTATGTCAGCCATGGGGTCCTTGGAGCTGCCCCTGGTGCCTAGGGGGCCTGGGTTTCAGCCCATGGAGTCAGCGGCTGTTGGGAGCCTCAGCGGCTGTAGGGGCCTTGAGTGCTGTGCTGGCAGGCGCCTGGCCCTGAGTGTCAGTGATGAGCAATAAACGTGCCATCCCCTCTGTGCTACATGATCCCTAGCGGCCAAGGCCACCCCAACCGCTGTCCAGGCCAGTCCTGCCTGCGCTCTGCCCCGGTCCCTGCTCCTGTCTGTCCTGGTTTGGCATGACGGGTGCTCCAGACTCCAGGACAAAGGGGCAGATGTGTGGCCATCCCCATCTGGCTGCAGAAAAGCCCACTTGTCCCTGGGGTTGGGGTGGTCCAGGAGTGCTGGGCCTTCCTCCACAGCCCCGGGCTGGAATATTCAGTGTGGCTGCCTGGGTTACTTGCATGAGCCCCTGAAGGAAGGGTCCACCCCAGGCCGCCTGGTCCCCACGAAGTGTCACACTGTGGGTCACTGGGGGCTGTGGCTTATGTGGTCGGGGAATCCTGTGTCCCTGAGAGTTGCTCAGCCCTGTTCTGAGGGCTTGTCCTCTCCTTCCAGGACACAAGCCTTCCCTCTAACCTTGTTCCTCACCTGGGGCACAGAGGAGGGCCCCCCGGTCAGGTTCAACATGGAAGTGGGTGACCCTAATGCCAGGAGCTTTGGGGTTAGGCTGTGCCTGGGGTGTCATGAACTGGGTGGCTCACACCCCGAGGTCTCAGTTCCCCCAAGCCTGCCCTGCCCCTCCTGGCCACAGCAGAGGCCTGCATGCTGCCTGACAGGTGAACACCAGGAGGTGTTTCTTTGAGGCGCAGCTCCACGGTTTATAGGACACGTAAGCCTCAGGCACTGTAGGGTCCAGGTTGTGCCCATTTTCCAGCCAGGACTGGTAGCCCATGTGGCGGCCCTGGGTGAGTCACCAGGATCCGCACATGGAGAGCGGAATCCACCCTTAGTTGTCACGTGGGACAGAGTCGCTGTCTCAATCCTCTCGGCCCTGCTGCTCTGCCCTGCACACAGGCCCCCATGACGACCTTGAGCCTCCAGGCATCCACCGCCACCCACCATATAGCTGGGCCTCACCCCACTCCCTCAGCTTGGATCCTCACCTGGCCTTGAGCCAGCCTTAAACTCCTGTATGTCCTTCAAGACCCCTTCAAATGTCCTTTTCTCAGCATGCTTCCCCAGACCCTCTGATGCCCAGGCGGGAGAGTCCTGCACACCATGGCCCGAGGGAGCCCCCACAGCAGAGGAGCACAGCCCAGTTCTGTGATGGGAGCCTGACTTCCAGGGGCAGCGCTGGGCCCATGGCCGTGAGTGACCCATCAGCAGGCCCCGATGATCAGCTCGAGTCAGCAGCACAGGCTCATCATGGGGCAAGGATTCACCAGAAACGCCCTCCCTGGCCCAGTGTGTACTCGCCTGGGCCTCAGATTTTCCCTGGAAATTCCTCCCCCCTCGCCCTGCTGTCCTGCACTGAGACAGTGGCACATGACTCCCGGCTGCCCACGCCCTGGAAGGTCCCAGGCCCTGGCCCTGACTCACCTGCTTGGAGGGTCCCAGTCCTGGGTACTGCCCTAGAGCCAGGGTTAAAGTCCCCTCCCTCAGGAAGCCCCAGGGTGTGAGCTGCTCCTGGGCCTCCCTCTGCCCCAACCATGCCTGCCTCAGGGCCCAGCCCCTCACCCAGGAGCCCCAGAGGGCTGGGCCCAACCAGGGCTGCACGGGTGGGGACCAGGACAGGATTTCTGAGTGGGCGGAGGGCAGCAGGCCGCTGGGGGCACACCCTGTCTAGCAGAATGTGATGAGGCGGGGTTGCCCCTGAGGACCCAAGAGGCCCTCACCCCTGCAGTCTAAGTCTGGGGCTGTCCCCCTTCCATTGCCCCCTCTGCCTCCATTGTGGCTTTGCTCTCTCCACCCACCGCCTCTGGCCCAGAAGATGGAGGGTAGGTGGGCTGCCAGGGGACCCGAGCCCCCCCCCAACAGTCCACTGCACAGGTAGGGAAACTGAGGCACAAAGCTGCGACTCCGGAATCCTGGCCATAAGTGGTTCCCCAGTGCATGACCCTAGAGAGCAGAGTTTTCAGGCAGAGTCCTGGAAGGTTCCTCAGGAGACACCTGTGCAGGGGGACGTTGGAGAAGGGAGGGTAAGTCCTGCAGGTGGGGTGGGTGGTGCCCCAGAAGTGGTGGATGGAGAGGGTGCACCTCCAGCCTCTGGGCTGGCAAGTGCTGTTTCAAGAGCTGCTCTAAGCAGGGTGAGCGCCGGACTCAGTGCCCCCACAGCCTCGGGGCTGTAGGGCTCACACGCCAGCTTGGAGGGGCCCTGAGCAAGAGGGTCCCCAAAGAGGGGCCTGGCTCCTGATGCCCTCAGGAGGGAGGGAGCAACTGCCCGGCCTCACGCCCTGTCCTCACCAGCCACAGAGGGTGGGCGCTGTCACCAGCAGGCATGGGTTGAGTGCCTCCCACGTGCCAGGCCCTGCCCTTCAGGGCTCCCAGGAGCCAGACCCAGATCTGGGCACACAGTGCAGGGCGAGGTCTGGATGCGGGAGCGGCAGTGGTCTGGACCCTGTGTGGTAGGTCTGGGTCGGTGTGGGGTGGGGGAGTGGACGGGCCTTTCTGTCCCAGGGGCTCTGCGCACGGCCCGTTCCTGGACACTGGAACTGAGCCTTGAGAGAAGTCGCTTCCCAAGGTGGCCAACGGGTTGGCGGCAGACAGGCTGGGTGCCGGGGTGTGTGGACCCCAGAGCCAGTGGGTTGGGCCCTGCAACCCACTGTGGTTCATCAGTGAACAAGGAGGGGCACAGTGGGGCCAGCCTGCTGCCCTGCCCCAGCAGTGGCCTTGCCAGCCCGCGGGCCCTCCCCACGCGGAGCCTCCATGCCCAGGGGAGCCTGCGTGGCCCAGCCCGTCAGCCAGGACGAGGGCGTTTCAAAGTCAGGCCGCCTCCAAAGCGGTGGTGTTGGCGGGAGGGAATAACTGGCTCCCACCAGGCTGAGAATAGCTCAGAATTGGGTCACGCTCACCGAGATCTCCGGTCACAGCCTCCAGCCTTTGACAATAATCAGCTTTCTCCCTGACATCTGTCCCTTCAAAGAGGGGGCAGGCCGGTGCAGGCACTTCTAGAAGCAGCAAAGCAGAGGGGACGGGAGTGGGGAGGGGCATCCCCACCTCCTGGCCCCCCATGGCAGGCCCCCTGCCTCCCCCCCGCCCACCCCGTGCTCCCTTCCGTGCCTCAGGACCCACCAGCTTCCCGCACAGTGTCAGGTCAGGGAGCAAAGCACGGCAGTGCCCTCTGACAGATGAGGACACCGGCTGGGGGCTGCAGGGAGGGTGGTGCCTGTGCCTGGCCCTCCCGTGCTCTGGCAGCCATGCCCCTCAGCTCCGGAGACTCAGGGGCTTGCATGCCACTGCCCCAAGCCGCCCTCCTTTTGCTCCTCCCAGTCTGTCCTGGGCTCTTTCAACGTGGTTGAAGGGCATGGGTCAGAGCAGGCCGTCCTGCCCCGCCAGGCTTTTGGGGCCTTGTGTTTCCCCCAGCCCAGGACTTCACCCCATGTCTTGTTTCCTATCCATTTTCCCGTGTCGGGCCCTCCTCACCCCTTGAGAGGGCTGAGGCGGGTGCTGTCACAGGCCCTCAGAGCCCGCATCTGTGCCGTCACCTGCGTATGCTGCCACCAGGTGGGTGCTGAAGCCATCTTCGTAGCAACATAGGTGCCTCCTGTGTAGAGCGATAGATATGCCTACCACATGCCAGGCACGCTGATTTTGGTTCTTTAATCTTTAAAAACCCACAAGGCAGTTCTTCTCGTGTTCCAGGTGACACCATTGCTAAACTTTAGTCACAGATATGTTCCTGAAGTGCCCGTGACACTGAGCATCTCAAGATGTGGCCCCTGGACTGCCTGCTCAGCATTGTCCCCACCCCACCCCTGCTGCTCAGCGTCAGCCCCACCTCACCCTGCTGAGCCGGAACTCCAAGGCAGGGCCCAGGGTGCCCCCTTTCTCCAAGCCTCCAGGTGGCTCTGGTACTCAAATCTGAGAATCACTGCTGGAAGACCCGGGAGTCTCGCAAACATTTCTTTTTATTTCTTAAACAAAAACCCCCTTTATTAACTGAAGCGGCAGCTCTCTGGCAGCTTCCTGCACGCGGCCGGTTGATCCTCTGAGGCTGCGCGGTCAGCTGCAGCTCAGTTTCTCCCGGTGTGGCCGGACTGTCTGCTTCTGAGCCCCAGACCCTGTCGCTCCCTGCTGCTGCACTGCAAATGCCCTCGTGCTCCCAGAGATAAACTGAGGCAGCAGCAGCAGGTCGCTGTGCGCAGACCCCACGGGGCCCCAATTTGAATAAACCAGTGTCTTTTACAAAATAGGAAAGTTGGGAAGTTTGAAGCTTGAGTGGCTGTTTTGTGAGTTTAAGGCGTGGCCACATTTGCGGGCATGCTGACAAAGTGCTGGGGAATGACAGGGTGGCTGAGATCCAACTCTGAATAACAGGGCTGGGGAGGAAGGGGAGCAGACGTCAAACCAGGCTGGCCACAGACTCCTGGGAGCTGTGTGCAGGATTCTTCACACGATTCTGCTGGTGCATTTCTTTGACAATTTCCAAAAGTTTTTATTTTTAAAAAAAGGAGGCTGGGTGTGGTGGCTCATGCCTGAGGCCAAGATGGGAGGATCGCTTGAGCCCAGCCTGGGCAACACAGGGAAGCCCTGTCTCTACAAATAATTAAAAAATAAAAAAAGGAAAGATGCACCAGGCCAGTGGCCAGCACTGGTAGCTGGCAGGACCCAGCCTGTCACCCAGGGTGCTGGCACGGCAGACGCAGGCTGAATGTGGTCTGGGGCCTGGCCCCTGCCTGTAAGCCCTGGACCTGCAGAGACACGGGCCCTGGGGAGGAATGCAGGGCCAGCTGTGGGTGGGGGGCCGGCCATGGATAGGGTGGGGACAGTGGGGGCGACAGGCTTGTTGCTAAGCTACAGGCACAATGGACATTCCGGGTGCCCGGCAACGGGGAAGGAGACGCTTCTTGGAGGGGGAACCCTGAGGGGCCCAGGCCACACTTGTCCCTCAGCAATGCGCACACCCCCACCCTCAGGCCATTGAGACTCACTGGCTGCCTGGCCTCTCAGGGTAAAGGGCAGCTGCCCTCCT